CACTCTCATGAACGCAAAGAATCTTGAGGCGTAGGCTTCATTCTTCGAGCAATTTCCTGTGATCGCATGCACATGAAACACCCGGGCTGACTCCGAGGAAAAGCATAGCGCAAACTCTGAGTGAGGCCTTGTCTTCATCTTCCTCAGCAGCAACTGCCTGGCATGTTGAGCACATATCCGGCTGTGCCGGAATTACGGTATAAAAGTAAGATGCTCAACCTTCACCTGGTGTAGCATAAAGGTCAACCTCCTGGTATGGCATGTCCAAACAGGATGGATATTTTGCAACTTCTTTTTCCAGTCCCATCTCGCACATTTGTGCCATTGTCACAGCCACCGACATGGGCCCTTTGGCCAACCTCTTGCCAAAAAGACACAACCCGTTTAAGTGGGTTGTCTTTTTTGAGGGTGCCCTCCCTCCCCCTTTTGTGGTTATAAAGCAAAACCTTTAAAGGAAAACAGGGCAAACAATTCCAAGAGCTAGGGCAAACCTCAGTTTTCGTGTTGGTCCCATTTACCCTCTTGGTGCCGTTTTTCGGTACATCTTCTTGCCACCCGGCTGTCCCTCGCCTCAGTCTGACGTCGCTTCTGCTGCTGCGCCGCCCACGAGTTCTCCGAGACCTCGAGCTGGGGCTCGGGTTCGTCCTCGTCGTTGCGACCCCCACGGCCCCTGGCAGAAGAACAATCTTCGGCGGCGCGGGGCTCGAATGGAAGGCGTCGGTGGGCTCAGGGGGGTCCCCTTCTTGGAAAAGGACACCTTAAGGATGGACAGACGGATGTGGTCATAAATGGCGGAGCCCCCAAAAACCCAACACTGCCATGGCGAGGCAGGCAAATCATGGCCAATCATCGCCGGAGCCGCCGTCCATTTTTGGCACCTGTGAGTCCGTGAGTGCACCCGGCTCACCACTGCAGCTGCACATGCTGCGCAACATGACACGGGCGAAGCGTTGGCCTTTCTCCGGCGCTTTTGAAGCTTTCCTGAGCAGGCAAAAGGAGCCGCGCGAGAAGGCGATTTGGGTCCTTATGATGAAAAATCCAGGGGCCTTGCTCTAATCCCTATTAAAGTTGGTAGTTAGAACCTCACATGGTCAATATGGGCTTGGGGCGCTCGAGTCACTAGAGGCTGAGCTTGCAGCTGTTTTGCATCTTGATGCTCGGCGGCATCTCGGCGCCAGTCTGACTGCTCCTCGATGCAAACAAGGCCTTTTTTTGGTGCACGAAGCTGCAGTCGGTTGCGCATGTGCTCTTTGTTGCCAAAGCACTTTTGGTGGTGCCGGTGCCGGTTTCTTTGCCTGGGCCCCAAGGTCAGAACTCAAAGCGCCAATGGAGCAATGGGCCTCCTGAGGGTATCCTGAGGTAGACGACCTCAGAAATTCGACCCTTGCAAGGGTCCAATCCAAACGAGCTAGGCGGCGCACGGCTCGCGCACTGGGGCAGACAATGTGCCTGGCGGCTGCCCATCTGAAATTTGGGAAATGGTTCAAACAGAGGCGCTCCACCCACATGCTTGGCTTATGGTTGGATCACCTGCTTTTCAGATCCCAAAGATCTTCATTCAGCCACCGAACTATTCCAATATCTTTCTGACATGAGTTTCTCTTATCAAACACGAAACAGTTGCGCTCACGTGGGGGGGAGGTTCTCAAAATGGGCTGTCCCCTAAAGTGCTTGGTCTCCCGTTGGTCTCCCTTTCAAAAAAATGGGGCTCCACTTTGTGCCTGCAAGTTTCCTTCTGGGAAAGCAAAATATCTCCACTGGTGGAGCTCAGCGACCGGAACTCCACCCATTTTCAGCAGCTCCCTTACCTATCCCCTTTCAAAGAAAACAAAAGGGCTCCACCCATTTTCAGCAACTCCCTTACCTACCCCTTTTCAAAACAGAACAAAAGGGCTCCAGCCTTTTGAGGAACTCCCTTACCTACCCGCTTTCAAAAAACACAAAAGGGCTCCACCCATTTTCAGGAACTCCCTTCTCAAAAAAAAAAAAACAGGGCTCCACCCATTTTCAGGAACTCCCTTACCAACCCCAATCAAAAAAAAACAAAAGGGCTCAAAAAAACAACAGGGCTCCACCCATTTGCAGGAACTCCCTTACCACCAGGATCAATGATTATTTACATTTGCCTCCCCCCTCCCCCCACAGGAGGAGGGGTTGCAACCACGACAAAGAAACATGTTTGCAAACCACGACAAGAACATAAGCAACCACAACAAGACACACAACGCGGCGATTGAAAACGAACAATCACGACAAGCAAATAGAGGAAAATGGAGAAGGATGGAGGAGAAATGGAGGAGAAATGGAGGAGGATGGAAATGGAGGAGGAAAGAGGAGGAACTGCCCTTCGCAGGGTCACAGGGCTCGGTCCGTCCGTCCCCGCCTCCTCCGCCCGGTCGCAGCGAGAGGCCGTTGATGCCACCGCTGAGGCTGAGAAGTCCACCCGGCCTCGGTGAATTCGGCCGAGCGAACTAATAATTATCAAATAAATAATCAAATAATTGTAGTTTATTGGATGATAATGTTTATTGTATTGTATAAGTCAGTTTATATCAATATTGATTTGATTTGTTTAGATAATCAATAATAACAATAAACAGTTAAATAATGGATACAATGATACTAATCGATATAATCGTGGTCGTGGTAATCGTCGTAGTTGGGGTAGAAATAATAATCGCGGTGGAAATAGTAATCGGGTGGCCCGTGAATTCGTGGACCCCAGACCTGCCACTCCAAACCTGGTTTTCGAGTAGGTGCAAAAACCCAGGTGTTTGCTACCCACCCCCACTTTTTGGTAGGTTCTTTGAGTAGCAGGGATTGATAGACCCCTTTTTTATACTCATGCGGATGGTTGCGAAATCTTCAAGTTGAAACTATGGGAAACCAGAACGCGTGTTAGTATGAGGGGAACCATCATTCTGGAGTTTCTTAGGTCCACAGAATGGGGGGGGAACCCCCCCTCCAAAAGTGATGAACCGCAACTGAAACCGGGAAAAGTTGTTCCTGCGTTGCCCTTTACCGGCAATTGTCCTACAAACCAGCCCCGAAATGGGTACCGAGCCTCAAACAAAGACACAGGTGGCTCTGTCCTTGATACAAACCAAAGGCCCGCCAGAACCTTCTTCAAAACTGAAGCCTGATTGAAGCGTTCTCACAACACTTCGTTCGGGTAGATGCCTCATTTGGGTCACCCGTTCAATGGTTTCTGACCGATCCGCGAGTGATCGGAACTTCTGCGAATGGGGCCACGTCTATCACGGCTCCCTGGACTATTGGGGTTGTCTCACGGCCTGCGGAAAAATAAATAAACACACTTGAAACCAACAAAAAAAATGCATCTAACTAAAACGCAAAAATATGTAAACCGAAAATGAAAAACATGAGAATTCCTTGGAACGTCAAACCCTATGGTCGGCTCCGATCCCTTTGGGCGTCTTCCGTTTCGAGTTCCGAAAGGCCGGGCCCCACACTTCACACCACCTCCAGGTCGAAGCGAGACGTTGCCACCTGCAGGGTCGGGCGGCAAAAACGGTAGATGCATACAAAGTACCATGCATATGGAATGAGCAACTAATATCTATATACTATACATATAAAATGTGTATATATATATATACATACATACATACTTACATGTATGTATGTATATACCTTAGAAACTTTGTATATCAGCTTGTTTGAAAATAAAAACGGAAGAGATACTGGATAGATGTTTCATATAGTTAGTTCAACCACTTGAATGCCCTCCCCGTTCCTTTCCTGGATCTCGGTACCCTTGTTTGGTTTCTAGCAGGACCCCCTGCTAACCGTTTGGCCAGTTTGGGGGTTCCCCTTTGAGACCAACCCCGCTGACCGGTTTGTTCTCTCTTTCAGGGTCGCTTCCTTGAAGTGGAACCCCCCGTGCCACAACCCACTGTGACCGAAAGCTCCGGAGAAAGATGCCCACCTGACAACCGGCCACCAGCTGCTGCTGGGGCAGTGCCACCGTTCACGCCATTGCCATTGACGGCAGGCGCGGGTGCCTCGCCAGGCAATGTGTCCGGGCAAAGCTGGTAACATGACCAGCTTCAGCGGAAAGGGGGTTGACCATCTTTTGGGGTTGATGAGCTCTTGTGGAAAAGGGGTAAAAAGGTGCCTGTCAAACTCGCTGGGTTTGGTCAAACCGTTCTTTTGGAGGGCGGGGCAGCTTGCTCGCGCAAAAGATGCCCTCTGCGCCTCGCTGGCTTTAGCTGCCTTGCTCATGGCTCCGAGCGAGAGGGCACAAGCTCCTCTACGTCCCTTTTACGAGCTCCCGAGGCAAGTTGATTAGCTTTCCTAGGCGACCTGGCGACGCGAGCCTAGCTTCCGATGCGAATGTCGAGGCATTCAAAAGGCTAGCACTTGAGAGGGGAGTGTTAGGCCATGTGTCGTGCTGGGACCCTAGTGCACCCTCCCAGGACTCAAGACTGTGACGGCTACGCGCGAGATGTTCTGGCTTCGGCCATGGCAACGCGTGGCACTGGCGCCAACATGTTCACGGCTGAACTGCCGATCCTTTTTTTTTGCCACAGCATCGAACACGCGCGGCAAAGTGACTGCCACCTCACGCGGTACTCATCGCGGCCAGAGCATCCCATGGCCGCCTCGGAGGGCCACGAGGACAAAAATCAACGCGCAAAAAATAGTTCCGCTCAGCTGGGAGCCTCGTAGCTTCTCTTTTAGCACCGCTCCTGCAAGGAAAGGCTTGACTTTAGATCTGCTTCCCTTCCAGCGGATTTGCCTGAAACCCCAAAAAGCCACCAGAGGAATCTCCGTTTGGGGCTGAATGTAAATGTATGCGTCCATATACGAACCCCTGGTATGAACCCCTGGTATGAAACCCTGGTTTATGGGTTAATTAATCGTTAGTGCGGCCAAAATGACCTATAAAATCAGCCTTTGAGAACCCTCTTCTGGGATTCCACTGTATGCCGCAGCATCGGCCTCGGCGAAAATTTATCGAACGCTCCAAAGCGAAT